GGTCGATCTCAAGCGTCAACAGGTCCGGGACGCTGACCTGCTCGAGCACGATATTGTCGATGTACGCGCTAAACGGATCGATGCTGTCGGTGTTATCTTGGAAGGCAACCTGCGCAGAGATATCAGGATTCCCTTGGTCCGCCGGATCGAGCAAGCCGAAATTCGACAACGGGATCGACATGGTCGTCGTACCGTCGGGATCTCCCAACAACCAGCCGCCGGCCTGCTGCCCACTGAAGTCGAGACCGAAGAAGACATTCAGCGCGTTGGCTTCACCCAGATCGACCCCTCGGAAGGTCACATCCGCTTTGACGACGAAGTGCTCGGAGCCGATGTTGGTGGCGTAGGACAAAGCGTCATAGGCGGGATGCCCCGGCCCCCAGTTCACACTGGTCGTCGCGTTCCAACTGAACTGGCCCGGTGTAACGCCATTGTCGCCGAATTGAGTGATCTTCAGGCTGCTGCTGCCTTCGGTGGCGCCGATTGGGCTCTGTTCGATCAATGGCGCGGTGGCCCCGGGGTTCCCGTTGCCAGCGAAGAACGTTGGCGATTGCCAATCCGAGAGGTCTTCCCACGACTCAAGAAGCCACGTGTCCCCGATCTGACCCATCTGTGCTTGGGCGACGCCCGCGGTCGAGGCCACGGCGACGCCAGCCGCCGCAATCGCCGGCAGAACGCGGCGCGTGCGACGCAACGCCAACCCGAGCACCGCCAACAGGGCGCCGCCGAGTGTTGTGGGCTCGGGGACGCTCGCCAACGCGCTGGCCAGCGAGCCGGCGCCGTGGAAGGTGTCGTAGAGGTCTTCGAATTGCAAGAAGTCTTGGAAGTCGTTGGCGCCGTCAGCGTTGAAGTCACCGAGCGTCGGATTCGCTACGAGATGCTGCGACATGAAGAGGTCGAAGTCGTCGAGGTCGATCTCACCATCGTTGTTCAGGTCGATGACGCCGGCGATGTCCTGCTCGACCAAACGGAAGTTATCGATGAAGATCCGCGCCGCCGTGGTGTTACTCGGCGCGGGCAATGTCCCGAAGACGCTATTGTAGAGAATCCCAAGTCGGATCTCGTTCAGAGCGGTTCCCTCGGCGAAGTCCCAGCCGAAATCGGTGAGTGGAACCGACGCATTAACGACGGCGTAGTCCTCGTTGTCCCACTGCGGGTCGAAGACTTCGATGGTATGGACGTTATTGATCTGCCTAAAACCACCGTTGCTGGTGTCACCCAACAGGCCCACCCAGAAGAATCGTTGTGGGAATTGGCCGTTATTCGCCGGGTCGACGGTCTCTTCCGGTGGTTGCCACGCGATCGACCGCATCTGCTGCACGTCGTAGATGATGTCGAAATCGATCGTATACAAGGCCTGAGCGCCGCTGAGAATCGCCTCTCGCAACGCAACAGCACGGGTATCGGAGCCGGAATAGATGGCGCCGGCGGGAGCACTGTAGTGCGTGTCGAGATTGAACGCGGCGCCGTTGATCGTTGCGTCGTAAGAACCGCCGTTCCCCTTGCCGACGATGTTGAGCTCAAGCGATCCCGTCCCTTGCGTAAAGGTCCCGGGCGTCGTGCTCTGTCCGTAAGTGAGCCCCGAAGTCTGTGCGCGCTGGTACCAGCCGCCCGAAATACTGGCGGTGGCGTCTAGTTCCGGATCGAAGTCAACATTGCCCGGCTGGCTAGGGCCGATATCCCACGTGGCGAGCGGTGTTTCGATGAATTGGGCCGAGGCGGAACCCGCCGCGACCAGTGAGCCAAGTAGCGCGCCGAGACGCTGGAGCGTTTTCTGTTGTGACGATCGCATAGCGGGTCCATTCCCTTTGCTGACGAGGTTGTGCTGCTGCGTCCAGTAGCGATGAGAGTCAATGCAGTTGCCGTATAGGCAGACGCGGCAGAAGAGCGATACTCGGGGGGGTGAGGCTTCGCCGCCTCAAAACACTAGCTGAGGCGGCTTGATGCTGTTTCCACTAGTCCCAGCACGCCGGCCGGGCGACTTCGCGGCTGGCGAACGGGATTCTCCACGCCGATCAACGACGCCGCATCGTCACCACCCCAACGAGCGAGGCGCCGACGAGCACGAGGCACGATGGCTCGGGAACCGCCGTGGTGATTTGGATTGTCACGTCGAACGGCTCGCCTAAGCCGACTTGCGAGTTGAGATCGAACATGCCGAACTGAAGTCCCCAGGCGTTCGCCAGGATGTTTCCATCGACATCGGTGTGCACAATGCCTGCTGGCAAAATGCCCGAGAAATTATTGGCGCTGGAGAACGACAATATCACACCCTCAGCACTGCCATCTCCGAGCAACGGTTGCGAGGGGGAGCCTTCGTAAAAGGTCCAATCCGGCGCCGTCTGAAGGTAGGTCTGCGCCGTTACGCCGGGTTCGCTAGCCGAGACAACCCACTCGACACCGCTATTGGCGGTGAGGTCGAGACCACCGGGAAAGCCTTGTAATGAGACCCGCGCGAAAGCGGTTCCCGGAAACGGATCGAAGGAACTCGTGTCTTGTCCATAGGCGAACGAGACGTCGAGTTCGATACCTCCGGGGATCGACGTGATGCTATTGATGACGCTGTACTGCGTCGCATTGTGGAAGCCGGCGGTCGCGTCCGTGAGCGCCTGGATCTCTGCCTGCGTTGGTTGGTAATTCTGCGCATGAGCTTGGGCGACTGACATCGTCGCCATCGCAAC